AGAATCCCTGAATATGACAGGAAACTCAGGAAGAACTTGGAACTTGAGTGAAATTGCATGCCCTGTTTATGACAAGAAGCTTGAAAAACCATACCCTGTTCTGCGGATCATCCCTGTATAGTCCATATATGGGAGTACCCCACCTGGTTTTTTACTGTTATTACCTGAAGCATTGTTTTCCATGTAATACTTACATCTGACTATGCATACTTACCATTTTCCAGGGTTGACTATAAAGCTATTTCAAAAAAGGTTGAATACTGCATACTAAATAGTGCATTCCAAGACCAAAGGGCATTGTGGGTCTCATTAATTTGAAATAAAAAGTAACTATACTGCAATTAACTCTACATGTAGTTAGTATATTGTTTCAGACGGAATACACTAAAAATACAATAAATACTTATTATTAAACCTACTTCAAATAATGTCACTATGACCCAAAATTCACTTTGGTCTTGGAATGCACTATTTAATATGCAGTACTATTCAGTATTCAACCTTTTTTAAAATAGCTGTATATCCATAAATTTTACAATTACTGTCATTACCAGAGTGTATTATTCCCATTAATACCTGCAACCGTATATTTGCCCTTACTATTTTCCAGGGCTGATCATGTGTATGGCTTCTTCAAGCAGTATTGTCCAAACATTAATAGAACACTTAGTCTGAGTGAGGAAGAACCTGAAGAAGATGAAGAACCTGTTGAGGATGAGGAAGAAGAGGTAATCACTATATTTTACATCACATCTCCCTATAAAGTGTTTTCCATGAGGCACTAACTTCACTTTATACATTATACAACAAACAATTCTCAACTCACATTTTCATGGTGAAAGGAAAACTAGAAAATCCAAGGGAGAGAATACCACATCAAAAAAACTCATGATCAACTCACATATCCAGTTTCAAGGAACCCTCTACGCAGGCATTAACTACAATGATAAGAGACAGTGGTGTAGTGGCCTATGCTGTGAACCTATAGAGCAGTTTTCGTATGACTGTGAAAAGCTCAGTGCCGTGTGCATGCCTTGCCACGACCGTGATGTTTTCTAGCATTTTGAATGGCTGATTTTCTTCTCGCGCAATTTGATTGGTCTGGCAGTGCCGTGACTTTGGCGTGATTTTATCCACGCCGTGTACATGCCGTGTTGCGGGCATTTGATTGGATGAGGAGTAAATTCTCGCGCGATGTGATTGGTTTGGCATAGGCCTTGCCGTGTCACAGCTGCGCTTGTGCCGTGAGCTTTTCACAGTCATACGAAAACTGCTCTAGTAATATTACTTACGAAGTCAGTTAATAGTTTCAAATTTAAATCATAATTCAATGATTGATATCAACATTGCCAGATATGCCATGTTCATGTTATCATGTTTTTTAGCATGATTCATACTTCTGGTTAATAAAAATAAAATTTAAACACCATAGTTTTTAATAATATTAACTAAATACAGTGAATAAATTGATCATTCATRAGACGAGATTAAGAAAAAGAAAAAAAATTCTGTCTTAAAAAAATTGCCAATCATAGGTTATACCAGTTTTCCCCCATATTATCTTCAACCTGTTTTTCACTAAGAAGTTTATGTCAATAATTATAATTTTTTCAAGTTTCTTACTAACTACTAAACAAATTATGTGCAGCTGACGTAAATAACCAGACAAAGCTTAGTACAATACTTTAAATACACCTCTTATGCCTTTGTTGTCGTAGTTCACCATTACACACCATGTCATTTTCTTATTATTAATAAATAAATATTTCTATACTGATAATATTAATACTTTAATTTTAAATTTCACCTTGAGAAATAATATAGAAGAAAGCCAAATTAATATTATAATATTATTCACTTACTACTGAACATTTAGAGAATATTTTTATTTTAATCCCTTCACCTATAAACTGTAAGACATGACTAATATGCTAATGTTAGTTTACTAAAAAAGATAATAATTGCTAGACTAAACTAATTTGGCCCTGTACTAAAATTATATACTCTTTGAAAGGCATTAAACATATCTTATTCAATTTATTTGCATATAAATTCTCTTTCTCAAGAGTTATAGGAATAGTTAGTTTTTAATTATAAAACAATATTTGTAACATAAATATTAAATTTAATATTGATAACTGAAATAATGCTAAAAGGTCTGACTATTAAAGCACTTCTCTTCTGGATTTTGAATGAGCCAATAACAGAACTAACAATAATATCAACAACTTTTTCTTYCTCACATTTCTGAAGTTTCTGACAAGTCTGTATTATGTGCTAATTTAAATATCTGTCAAAATTCTGCAACCTGATTGGTTGACCTAGGCCTTCTTAAGGTCAACAATGCAGCTGGTTGGAATAATTGCTTAATGACAGTGCTTTCGATTATATTATTTTAGATTGCTTACATTTCTTTATTAGGCTGTTCAGTTTGTGGATGGCTTTTATTCCTGTACCCCTCCCAAAGCAAAGGTAGGCATCGCATGCATGCACATGTTACATTGATTGTCAGAGCATTCAGTGGTAGCCTTATGCAATATATAAATCAATCAAATTTCTTACCTAGTGTATTTTTTATGTATATTTATTGATTAATTCATTATACTCAATTGACGGTTTGCACATCATCCAATAAACAGCAATGAAAGCGTAATATTTTCAAATTTCAAACTCATTCCCTTGAGCATTAGCCTGCAGAGGAGGCGTTCTTTTGATGGGTTTGAGAGGAAGAATCGGGGTTTTGGGGTTCCTGTTTCGACCAAGGGATTGCGAGAAAAATGGGACCTAGCAAAAAAAGGGAATGTGGGGGGAGGGGGAGGGGAAGAAGGGAATGCCTGCCAGCATCCCTCGTTCTTCCCCTTCCCGCCTCCTCCCCCTTCGCTTCTYTTTTGCTTGGTTTCAATTCTCACTCATTCCAAAGTTCCCCCAAAACCCCGGTTTTTATCCCAAACACAAAAGAACGCCTGCCTTGCAGGCTACTTGAGCATGTTTGTTACTTTGTTTATGTTTCATCCACATGATGTAAATAAATGAAATGAAATGTGGCTTACAATGGGTAAACACTTTTAAGATTAGATGAAAATTGAATTATTTCTCCTGGAAAAATGATTCTACCACGAGTGCATGCATGCTTCACACCAATTGAGCATTATTGAGGGGTCTGTAGCTATTCGCATGTTGTATGTTATATGTATATGTACTATTCTTGGCACAATATATTAGATACATAATAAATAGATGTCAATAGGCTGTGTTGTACATGTACAGTGCATGCTTGCTTGTCTTGTTTGTATTCAACTTTGAGTTAAATTTGTTAATGAATAAAGACTCGTAATTTAAAGTAATGTGTTGTCTAAATGGCATGCCTATGTAAATGTGTCTTAATGATAAGTCAATCATAAAGATGTAAATAAAACTAACTACTCTTCCATATATATATWTTTTTGTTTGTAGAAGGGTGAGGTGGGTAGGGCTTTATCAAATTCCAGCTTTTCTTCACCTTTTACATGTAAAATAACAGGAGAAATTTAATGATAATAACATCAATCGTAGATAAAAGTATTACCAGTATTCTCTTCAAGGATAAAAAATTAATTCTTACCGAAATTCTTTTTCATTGATATTTTTATTAATATTATTATTATTGATATTTGTTTACTGTAATAATATTTAATCCTTTTAGTGGTAAAAAATAACCATTAATCGTTATAATTGTAATTAATATCACCTGGATGATATAGATTACTTGATATTTTTATTTACAGGTTGAAAATTAAGCTCCAAACTAATAGGGTATAATATTAAGAATAGCGTTTTAATAAACCTACCAAGAGTAATGGTGCCTCTAACTGAGATATATCTGCATATCACATTTAGCAATTATTCGCCGAAGGCAAAGTGAATATCAGGAAATATTTACCGAGATGCGAGTCTTTGAGCAGCGAGGTAAATATTCCCCATATTCACTGAGCCTGAAGCGAATAATTGTTTTAGCATATACCAACTTGTGTACAGAGTAACTTATTTTTATATACAATAATTCAATAAAAACAAACAAACGGAAACTTTAAGTTTGCGTGACAAGTTCACGCAAAACTTTTAGCAAAACTTTTAGGCCATACTTCGTTGCCTTTTTAGTATTGATAGGAATAGCATTTTCAATTTCCTCTTCGGAAATTGTAACAAAACGATTGCCGGCAGATGTCATTTTGTTGCTGACTCAATATTCCAAGATTCAGATGTGAATATCGTACAATATTCACCTCCAATTAACCAATGAGCGCGCGCGTTCTTAGGAAGTGCACAAGTTGGTATATGCTAATAAGTTATATTTACTACACAAGATTGGCTAATGCACCAAGACCGACTTCACTACAGTTATTTACAACACACAAAAGTGCTCAACTCACAGTTGATTTTAAAGAGAAAGATTGGAGAACCTGGAGCGCATCAGATTGAAAAAAACTCAACTCACATATGCATTTCAGTTGAGAATTAAACCCACATACCCAGGCATTGCATCACGGTATATTGTATGAAAGCTTGGCAGTTAGGTAGAGGTGTATTTTTTTATAAATTTGAGTTGGGGGGGGGTTTAGGAAGCTAAAATGAAAATTAGGTCAGGGTTGTCATTACGTTTTGCAGTAAGAGAAGATCATGAACTAGCTGGAAAGCCCTAGCAGGGTTTTCATTAAGTTTTGAAGTAATACGAGATGATAATTGTAGTTTATGCTGGAGAATTTTGTTCAGTTACCGGAACATTCTTGGATATCTGACCCTAAGGGAAAATTTGGTTTAGGTTACACAGACAATAATAAATTGTCAAGCTGCAGTGTAAAATGTTTTGAAGTGTGCTGACAAGAGCATGAAAAAATAAAAAAAAAAAAGGGGGGGGGGGGGGGGGGGGACGTCAAGTGAATACCAAAGGACCTGGTGATACCCACTCTTTTTGTATTGCAGGTCCTAGTGCCTTTCTCTAAAATAGGCAAAGAGTTAATATTAGATGTGTGCCAACCAAACAGTAACCTAGAGCAAGGAAGGTTAGTAGTGTGTGTACCTAGAGCCATAGATACTTGAGAATTATTACTGAAAACTGAATCTGTACTGCTTGATAGCTCTTTTCGGCTTGGGGCATATGTTTTCCCAATTTCGGCCACATCATTCCCTAGAGTATGATTTCTTTGATTAATGGCTACACATGAAAGACACATGAATATGGAAACAACCTCAAAAAAGAATCTTATTCTCAAGAGAATGACATGTGGTGTGAAATGGAAAAACATTAATGCCTAAGCTAAAAAATAGTCTATTGACATGGAAGAGTCTCTTCACAGAGGCTGCTTGGTTAGAAGAAGATAATAAAGGAAAGAATCCTGAGGAAGGAAGGGAAAAAGGACATTATTACTTCCTTTTCCCTTCCTTCCTCTCTTCTTTTTCTACTTCCCGGATTCACTCGTTATTCCTTCTTTATTTTATTTCTTCATTATCTCACTCKTTTTAATCTATCTCAACAGCGTCAAGTCGCCAGACAGCCTCTCTGATGATATTGCTTTCTTGCCAGAGATGTCTGATGATTCTCAGATTCTATCAAAATCATTGGTCAAGAAGGTATCTGAAACACTCTATCGACTCATCCTCTTGTGGTTCTGCCTTTCAGAAAAGTGCTTTCATTTCCACATCTCGCAGGAACATGCGTAATTGGTAAATTACGAGCCTTAGATGAAACGACTGAAGAAGAGTGAAGAGTGTGAAAGGCTCGTATGGCACTCTTCTTCAGTCGTTTCATCTAAGGCTCGTAATTTACCTATTGTTAGTACACAGGATCTCCGAGGCAGGGTCGGACCTTCCAAGAACTTTGCTGATTCGTTTTAATCTTGTTCTTCTTCTTCTGCTCTACTACACACACTACTTTTTCAATCCTTAGTGCGAAGGTTTTTAAGCCTTATTCAAGTGAGACATAACCCAAACAGAACTTCCTGAGATGAACTATTTTAACATAAACATTTGCCAATTAAGGAGGGCTAAAGGGTGGTCTAAACAGCTGCGTCCAGGAAAGAACTTCCTAATCGGAGAACTAACCTAAACAGTTCTGTGTGCGTTAATAATCTCGCCTGATTATTACAATATCGATCAATGAATTACAAATACGTCATAAACGAATGCTAACTTGAATACGGTAATAGCTCTGGACATGATTTTAGCCATACCTACAATGTGTAACTACAAAGTTCATGAAAGCTATAAATTGATCTTGTCCATAATCCTCAATGGAAATATAACTTTAAACCGTTGGTTCGGCCCTAGCACAAACCACTCTTTAACCAAAACGACTAGACACTACAAAATCCTATTAATTAGACCACACAGCACTTTGGTAAAGAAAGATAAAACATATCAAAACTGTGGCATAACACTATTACGCATGTTCTTATTTGATATCCGAGCCYATCCCACATGGCTTACTGCCTCATCTATCTATTTCCACATCTCGTATTTCTCTTTCTCTAATAATTAAGCAAAAGCAACTGCTACAATGCAGCTGAATGGTATAATTTTGTGATTTCAGTTAAACAAGAACCTTCCTTCTCGTCTAGTTGGACATACATGGACATTGGTATACAGTACCTTTCTCCATGGCTTCAGTCTAAAGACTATGTACAGGAACATGGAAGATTTTGATACACCAATGCTAATAGTAGTACAAGATGATGAACACCAGGTTGGTAGCCAGTACCCCTTACCTACCCGGAACATTTTGATACACCAATGCTAATAGTAGTACAAGATGATGAACACCAAGTAGGTTGGCAGTACCCCTTACCTACCCGGAACATTTTGTGTTATTTTTTAATTATGAAACGATTATTGGTCGTTTATTTACGGGATATATTCGTTTACAGAATTGGGATAAAGAGTATTGGCAAAATTTATCCAGGATTAAAGCTTATTCATAACCCCCACCCCCCGAAAAAAAAACAGGGCTTTTTATGACCTAGTCGATACTGAATTCTTTTCGCAAAAGCCCCAGTTTAAAGGTGTAGCGTACCTTTTTCGAGCAGTCATTTCTTGAGCACTAATTTGACGCGTTTTTCCGTAGATATTCGGCACTGTGACGTCTTGCCCATTACGTATTAGCGAAGGGTTTTACGGGACAGGACAGTCGTTCCTATTCAAATTTGAAGGTGATGAGATCAAGGTGCGTACAAAAGTTAAACCCTAATGATTACAATAATAATAGTTGTAGCCTGCTTTATGTAAGCGGATCAGCTTTTATTAGTCCTCTCGTTTGTTTGTGCTAAAAACTGGTGTTCCATTTCCGTCTTGATTTTCTCTGAAATCATTCTTTTTGTCACAGACTTTTCTTTGGAGAGGAGATAACGACTTCTTCATGAAAGGATCAGTAGACTGTATTGCATTTGGAAGTGGAGGGTAAGAATACTGGATCTATGTAAGATATAAAACTAAAGGTTTTGACGGCTGTCGCAATATGGYTTTCTGTTTCTTTATACATTCCATCATAGTACCATCCTTAATTGCCCTGTTTCACTATGACGTCACATTAAAAATCTATTGTTTTGGCGCTAAGGATCAGGTTCTCTATCCCTCATCCAGAGGGAACGAAATAGCAACAAAGCAAATAGTTAAAATTTGGTTAGAACAACTAAATATTGCACTAAATATCCAGAACGAAAGAATATTGAGCTTAAATTTCTATTAAACAAACCACGTAAACGAACCGATGAAATAGGGCAGTTTAATCAGACTCCTGTAAAAAAGGTCAAGTCAATGCATACTTGTATGGCTACAGTACTTGCACACTTCAGAGACGTATCCAGGGTATCCCACTTGGTGGGAGGTGGGGGGAGGGGGGGGGAGTGGGTAGAAAACCTTGGAAAATCATCCCTCTCCCCCAAGACACATACACGTTGCGACTAAACTGCCGTTAGAAACGTAGGGTCACTCCTGGATATTCCTCAATTCAAATGTGACCCAGTTTTCTCGGTTGATGTTTAGATTTTTTTAGTTTCGATAACAAACCAACATTGTTTTAATCTCCAGGGGTCAATTCGGGCTATGGTTGGACGAAGATTTCTACCATGGCAGTAGTCACTTCTCGGAAACATATCACAATGAAACGCTTTCAAAAAATGAAGACTTCTTATGCAGTGCAGTGGAGGCATGGGGGTTTATATGATCACGTAATGTGCGAGATATTGTCTGATGTGGCTCAAAGAATGACTGCATTGGAAAAACCGGACTGGACTTACGTCATGATTGGAGAAAACCCGGACAAGACATGATGTGCATGAATCTATCCCTATCTTCCAGATGAAAAATGGACCTGACGCCGAAAGTCACGTGATGTGCAAAGCAACAGGACACGTGACACAAGGCCAATCCTATTCTAAAATCAATAAATCTATATAGTTTATAATCTCTGTAAGTGTTGAGCGAAACTGAAACCATTTGAAAGTGGATTTGAGAATCCCATGATTAACGTTATTTAAGATTTGATAGTTGATACAGCATATAACCTTTAAGATTTATTAGGTTTCAAGGGGGCGAAGAATCTAACTATCACTTCCCTTGGTTTCACTACCGCTCCCTTCTCCAACCCCTGCATTGGTGGTACAGTATATTAAGGCGGTTTCTTTAGACGAATGTTCCGTATAGTTTAACTGGCGACGTGTCGATTAGTTAGAGGTTTAAAACTGAAAAAAACTCTTTGTTGTTGCCCTGCTGAAAAGGTCAACACAGAGGTACTTAGATTCCTTAGAAGTAAATTAAGAAAAGCTTATATATTTTGTCATAAAAATGATATTTAGTGAAGTAGGTATTCGAAGCTTCAAGTGGATAAAATAATTAAATAATAAATACCAATGAGTTTTGCAATTTTTGCATCAATTAACTTGTGATTATTTCTCTCTTAGGCTGAGACCACTATGTATGACAGGGGGCAGGTGATATTTTCAATGCTCTTAAAATCTTGGCCCCTCTTGGCCATCTAAAAAAAATTGAGGTGAACATCTCGTACCCAGAGCCCTCGTTCTTCTCTTTAATTTTTCACGATCATGCATCACAGAAACTAAAAACCCTTGAGCAAGTTTCGCGCAAAACCCCCTTATCGCCCCTCTTCCGTTAAACATTACCGGGTTTCGTTCTCAAATCTCGCTTTGGTTGTTGATTGGTCGGGGGCCAATAATTTATTCCTTGTGCGTCTTGGGGGGTGAAACAGGGATGAGAAAGGGAGCGGAAAAAAAGGGCTGAAAGGAAAAAGTAGGAAAGAGAATCGGAAAAAAAATTGGCAATTCTTGGTTTGCAATCAATCCCAAGAGAGCACAATAACAAAAGGGATGTCCGCCATGTTGGAAGATATAACAAAAGAATTCATTGAAAAATCTTTTGTCAAATTCTTCCAACATGGTGGCTATGACGTCTATTCTTGGTTTTCACCTACGTCATCATGAATTTCAAAAGCGTAAATTCGCATTATAATGAAATAAAAGTTTCATAATCTTGTAAAGCGTTCAAAACTACATATTCTGGCCAAATTTTAAGGCTGTAAAGCATTTCGTTGCAGAACTATAGGCGAGTAAACATGACGCAATTTTTGGTTAAAATGTATGGAGCGGCCATCTTGGTGTTCCAAGTTGGTACACCATCATGGCGGACGAAATTCCAAAGGCTTAAAGTGATGGAATATTTAATATGTTTGACTATTTTTCACTTACACATACTTTAAATAGATATTTTAAACGTGTCTAAGGGAAAATCTTTCAACTAAAGTAAATTATTTTAATATTTTCATCGCTATTTAGATAGACGTGACGGTATTGCGTGACACAAACTCAACCTTCATAACTCGAGAACCAAACATAATAATAATACTTTATTCTAAAAATGCAGATTACATATTTTGAAAAGGAAGACATTGAGGTTAGCCCTATATAAGTCCCCTAA